TAGGTGCGTGCACACGTTTCGTTCTTTTTCAGTTCAGTTAACTCCAATATCACGTTCTTACTGAAATCAATCCATGGTGGGTAAGAGGAAGTTTTACACTTAAAAAGTGCTACATCTTGTAGGCCCACATTTTCGACAATCTCCAGGCCTTTGATTATAGTAGGCTTGCTCGCCGTCCTCCGTGTTTTATATTCCAATATAGTGGCCTCATCTTCCAAAAGGATTAAGTTTAGGTTTCCACTTGAAGCTTTAAGTTTAGCCAAATAGTTGATGGTAAGTATTTCTCTCCTAACGTATAGTGGTGGAATTCCTGATTCAGCAAAAATTGAAAGGAGAGGGCTTGTACGGAATGCCCCTATTGCCATTTTGATGCCACTAGCATGTACTCTGTCCAGTTTCCTTAGGTGTGTTTGGCGAGCCGAGGAATACACAACACTTCCATAATCAAGGACGGACAATACAAATGATTTGTAGAAGTTAAGAAGGCATTTTCTGTCAGAGCCCCAATTTATGTTCGATAAACACCTTACGATGTTTAATCGTTTCCTGCATTTCGCTTCTAGCATTTCAATATGCTGCTTGAAGTATAACACTTCTTATCAAAGATTACACCTAACATCTTTATGATTTCTTGGTATTGTATATTCTTGCCCTTCATATGTAAGACCGGATCCTCATGTTCATGTCTAAGACGACAGAAATGTATTGCGCTCGTTTTCTCTGAAGAAAAACGAAAACCCATCATTTTCGCAGTTTCTACAAGGCTATCAATACCATCTTGTATAGGCGATTGGATTTATCCTCAGTGACTTCACCAGAGTGAAAAATAATTAAGTCATCGACATACAAACTAGCAGAAAGTGGTGCTCGGACAGAGGAAACCAATTCATCAACCGCTATTAGGAACAGCGTACAGCTTAAGACAGAACCTTGCGGTATGCCATTTTCCATTATGTATGGATTTGAGGTGAGAGTGCCCACTCTAGTTCTGAAAGAGCGATTTGTTAGAAAGCTCTTAATAAATAACGGAAGATTTCCTCTTAATCCCCATTGATGAAGCTTTCTAATTATATATTATACCTCCACGTTAAGTCATACGCCTTCTCAATATCAAAGGAAACCGCAATCATGTGCTGCCTACGAAGGAAGGTATTGCGGATCTTATTCTCAATAAAGACTAATTGATCTATCGTCGAGTAGAAGCGACGAAAACCAGTCTCTTGGGTAGATAGTAGCGACTGTGACTCCAATAACCACATCAGCCTGTCATTAACCATCCTTTCCATTATCTTAAATTTAAATTATATTACACAAAGAAACTTTACCTTTCATTATTGTATTACATTTTTTTCTTGTAGGTTAACAGAAAATAATTTTTAATAAAATATCAATTATTTTAATTAATTAATTGGGTCCCTAAGTAGTGTTAGCCAAAATTTACAATCTACCCCTGGCGAATGTCGAGTCAATATTCAAGGTATTTTATGCGGACTTCTGATAAAAGAAACTATATACTACTGTATATACCTACTCAAGAATTCCTAAATTCATTTCTTAACATGGTACACATACACTCAAAAAAATTTCGTTCATTTATTTGATTAAAGCCATTAATTGAGTAGTGATTCATTTTCATAATGAAAAATTTTATTCTGACAACAGACTCTCTATAATTAATTAAGGCATACGTTTGTTATCCCAATAATTCGGCATTTATTAAAACAATAAAATTGGTTTATTAGCTAGAAAACCAGATGTTATTTTGCCAATTAACTTTTTGGTGTTCTTAATAAACTCGTTTATTATTACTACGATTTTATTTAATTAACACATAGAAGTTCAACTTAAAATATATTCATTATGTCAATGAATGTATTTGTGATTTCAAATAACGAAGTTCTTATTACAATATAAGATGTTAATAACTACAACGAATATTAAAACTCATGTAATGTACAGGTATTTCATATGCTTAATTAACAATATTCGTTTCGACAATAAAGGCGTCTATAAATTCACAAACACTATTAATTGTAATCATTAATACATGCATAAATTAATGAACGGCGTTAATTGTCCTAAGGAATACTTTGTCGGCTTAACAAACCGATTCGCTGTAATAACAAAGCCGGTAGTGAAAGACATAAATCTTCATTTTGGCGCGATCAGTAGTTGTCGCAAGAAGTGCAGTGCAGATAAGAGCACAAGAAATTATTATTTTCTTTTTCATCAACCGCCGCCGAAGCCGCGTCAAGTTTTGTGTGGTTTAGATACTGTTTCCCTTAATCAATAATATTTAACATAAGGAGTATTAAATGTCCCTTCCATAAGGTAAGTAAAATTCAGATATTTATAAACAGTTGTTTTGTTTTAATACTACATACAGGACATGTTTACCCATTGTAGTAGGTAGATAATACCATTACCGGGCCTTTGATACAACTTTCTTGTAACCGCAATAGGTCTAAATATTTTTTTAATTTATCGTTGCTACTTGCCTACACAAATGGCAAATAATCGGAATATTCCGAAACTGTGAACGCGCTTTAGCTTGTCAGGTTGGCTTAGCTGTTTCTGGTTTCGCTGTTTGCCCAAGCCTTTCGACAATAGATAAATTTTAGTTTTAATTTTATGATCCGATTTGTTTGTGTTTTTTTGTATAATATCCAAAATTTAATGTAGTATTAATCAATTTATCTTCATCAAAAATTCTCATTCATCGATTTTGACAGAACGACTCACTCGGAAAACCAGGTGGCTGTGTCTGTTTATGATACTTTGCGTGTGATTTTTTATTCGAATTATTAGTAAATGAAAGAAAAAAAATCGTCAAGGGTTCCGTTAATAATTTTTATTTCAATAAAAAAAAGAAGTAAAAAAGGCAAATCTGGCAGAGATTCGATCCACCGACCTCGTGCACACAAACCAAAAGCTATCACTAGTACATTCGTTCATTATCATAACTGATGGTTACAAAAAGTAAGGTTAGAATTTTCAGCAAAATAGATTATATCTATTTATACATTTCGTATTTTCGTTTTTTTTAATTATTAAAAATAATAAGATAATAAGTATAGACTTTTGCATTCTTTTTTTTAGGAAGACTGTTTCATCAGATAATTATTAAGGTGTGTCTCTTGGTATAAATTAAAAAAATGTTATGCTTTTTATGCAAACAATTTAATGGTGTGAAAATTCTTTTTAATCATTTTAAGCGTAAACATGATTTAGGTTCTAATAGTACTTTTAGATGTTGTGAGGATCAATGTGGTCAAATTTTTCAAAATTTAGGAAGCTTCAAAAAACATTTAAATCGTAAACATATCAATATATTAAATGCAGATGGTTTAGACACTTCTTTCATTTATTAAAAGATAAGGGGACATTAATTCCAGAACGTAAGACTAATGACACTAGACTACCATTAATTAATTCAACATCAATGTTAAAAGAGAGCTCGTTCGAAATCCAGCACCGGGATGAAATCAAACAGAATACCCAGAAAGATTTAATAACTCAATTCGAAGTTCTACAAGAAAAACTAAATTATTCCATTACAGAATTTGTACTCACCCTTCACAGTACTAGCAATTTCTCAAGAAAAGATGTTTTTAATATTCAAAAATATGTAAATAATTTTATAATTGGCCCTCTGTTAGACACAATTCTAGCTTTTGCAAAATGTAATTTTTTAGAAAGTATTGAATTATATAATAAATTCCAAGGTTTAATAACCATGTTCAGAAATCCATTTAAACTTTTTAATACAGACAAAGATCATACTACACTAGATAGACAGCGCTGTATAAATTTTAGACTCTCATAATTCGTCCCGCCAAATAAGTCGACTGCGTCCTCCAGCGGCTATGTTTTTATGAGAATAGTACAAACTACCTGGCGGGGTAAGAAGACGCGCGAAATGGCAAAGCACAGTTATTTTTAGAATAAAGGGCTATTGTATGGGATATGGTCTCATTCCTAAGCGCAACCTTGTGTGGGTGTTATAGATGTTTTTATCTGGTTACCTTACTGTAAATTAAAATACCGAATATTCATATCTTGTTTTAAATTAAATTTTTTATCGTAACACAACGAAGTTGAGGTAAAGCTTATGTGCTCGTGTTTCCGTCTGTCCGTCCGTCCGTTCATCCGTTCCATCGAGATCTCGGCCCCTGGGCCACCTAGAGCCTTCGGGTTTTCGCTAAGTGATAGCCGTTATGGTCTATATTTGCCCATTTCGATCAGTTTCGTATTTTCCATATTTTGCGCAGAATGCCAAATTTCATATTTATGGAGATATTTCTTTGAAATTTTAACCACAGACGCTTCTAGTTCCGACTCACTTTAGCTGGACACAATTGGACAATTATGTAGGAGGCTAAGCGGGATATCTCGTTTATCCCAATCATAAAATGCTTAATTACAACAAATCTAAATTAGATAAATGTGTGGTTACAATGTAAATATGCCTGGATAAGTAGGTGCATATTATCACAGATTTATAGTATGTTTAAATCTGTGATATTATATTTGAAGATTTGCTAAAGTATCGTAGATACGTGAAACTAAAAGTTTTCAGAAATTATGCTAAGAAAAAAGACGCTTTTGCAATTATTAATTTAATCCGAAAATCTGGAAAATGTATTGGTTAGCGCTGGTTAAAAAAAAGCAAAAGGAATATTGTGTACAACCTTTCAAATTATTTCTTTCATTGTAACGTCCTGACTGTAATAGAATCTACTCGTCTTGAATGACGCCCACTTACAAATGTAATTTTATCCCAATGATAGTGACGAGTGTTCAGTAGGTCATGTTTATGTGTCTCGTGTTTAGACAATAATCACTCTTTGTATTTATGATATGATTCGAACTCGTACGAAGACGGCTTCGGATGAATCAGTTACCTACGTTCTTAACTTTGAAAGCCCCCTATAAATATTTTTATGGAACTACTTAAACGCGAAACAACTCTTGCATATACGCTGGCTATCTAGTGTAGTATGATCTTTGATACAGATCATGTATTGTTTAAAACCTTAAAAGAAAAAAACTACACAGAAGATTTTAAAGAATTTGTTATTAATAGCGAAGTTGATATAATGCATAAAAAAGGAAATTTCACAACCGAGGAAAAAAAGGTAACGGGTGTTTTGATGCCAATAAAATTTCAATTAAAATCACTATTTGAAAGGAAACATTTATTGGAAAATACATTACAGCACATGACAGACCTGCAGAGTCACACCAAACTCACAAATTTTGTACAAGGTAATTTGTGGAAGGAAAAAATATCAAAGTACCCTAACAAAATAGTATTGCCCTATTTTATATACACAGATGATTTTGAAATTAATGATCCTCTTGGGTCACATTCAGGTAAACATTCGATCTGTAATATCTACTACTCATTTCCGTGTTTACCAGTAGATGAATCGAAGCAAGACAATATTTTTTATTGCGCATCGATAAAGTCTAAAGATGTGAGGGAATTTGGTAACGAAAAGTGTTTACAAACTTTAATCCAAACGCTTAAGGAACTTGAAATTGATGGGATAGACATACAAGTAAATGAAAATGTAACTAAACGTGTTTACTTCATTTTGGGTTTGGTGCTAGGAGATAATTTGGGCCTTAATTCATTTTTAGACTTTACAAAATCCTTTTCTGCAAATTTTTATTGTAGATTATGTAGAGTATCAAAAACTGTTTCTCAAAAAATGACAACTGAAGATCAGGAAATGATGCGAACAATAATAAATTATAATGCAGACCTAGCTAATTTGGAGGACAATTGCAGGGGAATAATTAAAAACTCGCCTCTCAATGAAATTCCATCTTTTCATGTAGTCAAGAATTTTTATGTTGATATAATGCATGATATTTTTGAAGGAGTATGTCACTACAGCATTTGTCATGTGATATTGTATTGTATCGAAATGAATTTTTTTAGTTTAGAAATTTTAAACTCAAGGAAACAAAATTTTGAATACGGATCCAAAGAAATTAGTAACATATCAGCGAGCATTAAACCTAACTGTCTTAATAATAAAAAACTAAAGATGACTGCAAGACAAATGATGACGTTTATAAGCTTTTTTCCTCTTATGGTAGGAGACATGGTTCCACATGATGATGATGTTTGGCAGTTTCTGATAAATTTTATAGAAATTATTGATATTCTATTATGTTTTGAAATAAAAAATGGTGATATAATCTCATTAGAAAAGAAAATCACAAAGTTCAACCTGGATTATATTACATTGTTTAACGACACATTAAAACCTAAATTTCATAACTTAATTCATTACCCTAACATTATTCGTCAATCTGGACCACTTAGAAAATTATGGTGTTTTAAATATGAAACAAAACATATTTCATCAAAAATTTATTGCCACTGTATTAATTCAAGAAAAAATATATGTGTTACGTTATCAAAAAAATACCAACTGAAATTTGCTCACCAGTTGATTTTAAATATTCCATTGACACCAATGATAGATTTAAGTAATACGCATGAAAAGAAGAGTAATTTTAAAAATATGATTGTTGAACTATTAAATTCTAAAAACATGCTTAAAGATAATACCCATGTCCAATGTTATTCACAACTTCTATATAAGTCCACAAAATTTAAATGTGGTGATTTTATAGCTGTGATAAATAGCGATATTTGTATTTATAATATAGTGGATATCGTAGTATTAGATAAAACTACAATTTTATTTTTTTCACAACAATTAAATAATATATGTTATAAACCACATTATCTTTCTTATGAAGTGGATATCCATGCATTAGGTGCGTTTTCATTGATTTCCACCAATAAATTAATTGGACCACCTTTAGATCTTATAAAAACATCCAAAGGCCTTAAAATGATTAGGTTAAAAGAATACTACACAACATTTGATTTTTAACTGCATAATCCTAGTAACATTAAATTTGTACTAATTCCACATTCCTTATTGCTTTATCTGACTGAAGCTTAAGATGTATGACAACGAAGTCGAATACGCCGAAGAAGGCACTACATTCATCGACATATACAAGGGCTTGATTACGGGAAGTACCAACCAATTTGACATTATAACACCTACAGTAAATACAAATAATGGTTTTCAAGATAACGTCGGTAATATGCATGATATGGCTTTATCAACTCCAAATAATAATATTCAAGAAAATGACGACTCTAACCAGCTAAGAGATTTATTAAGATCGTGGGACCAGGAAGGGTTAACAAATCACTTAATACGTAAGTATACAAAAAAATTTTATTAGAAATTTAGATTACCTACTATAAAATACGAAAGGTAGTAGGTATTTTATTTTTAAATTTTCTTTAACATTTACGCCCGTACGTTTACTAATTAATGGTTGCATTTTTAGAACAACAAGTATACATTCCACAATTAAGTCATTAGAAAATACACCAACCTCATCAAGATGTTCCACACCAAGGCTCACTCCATACCAAAGACCCACCACACCAGATGACTATATTTCCTTATGCAGCATTTTAAATTCAAATCCGAAAGGTTTGATGATTTCGGAGTATTATACCAGATATAGTAAATTTAACGATGATCAAAGACTTTCGCTCGTAAGTCTAATTGCGGGTCATTATGAAGAAAAGTCAGTTCAGCTAAGCTTAGCACTTAGCTACCGAATTGAAAATGAAATTTTAGAACGATTTCCAACAGAAAAATTGGTAATTATATTTTCCACAATTTATTTTCGTCAATTTAGTACATTGTAATTTTAGGAATTTTATCGCATTGGAAAGAGGGGCAAAATTTACAACAAATTTTGCAACCTAAAGGCATCCTTTAAAACTGCAGTGGCTGGCCATCTTATCCCACCAAAGAAAAAAAGCCCCAAAGAAAAATTAAATCGAAGTTTACGAGTTTTTGGTAAGCAGAAAAATTATTATAACGTTCAATCTTCTAGATTATTCCGTTATTGCCCTTAACTTGATGCAAAATTAATTTTATATATAAAACTATTTTAGAACCCGAAGAGAATGCCGAGAACTGTGTACGTTGTCTTAAATACGATAACCTTAGCAGCGAAGAATTTGATAACTGCTGGAAGGCATGTGCTAATTACAGAATTGGTCAAATAAAAGAGGCCATGTCAACTGACGACATTTTAGAAACATGGCCATACTATAGGAAACCGACTGGATACCGTTTGGTTAGTTATTTATATATTGACTGAATATATTTTAATAATTAGGTTTTACAATAATTAATATTTTAGGTCGATATGGACTTTCAACAATGTTTTGAGAACAGAAATGGAATGCTAACAAAATGGGATGAATATTATTTTCACATACTACATTTTTTGTCAAGGGATGGACACATTAAAGACAAATATATTAAGGGAATAGTTGAAAATCTAAATCAATTGTCTGATTTGTCAGAAAGTAATTTTTTACATTACAATTATTTATTTAACCAAGTAACATTATCAATTTAATTATTATTACTCTTTTTAGATGGAAAAAATGCTGGAATTCTGTGGTGTTTGCATGGCTATTTTGTACCAACAAAACTAGTGGTTACAAAAAAAAATGATAAAAAAACCAGCACGAGATACACAATCCGTGATTCTCAGGAATCGTTTTTATTTATTGGAAAATCTTTACAAGAAGTAGAAGATCATATCTCACACTTAAGAAAAGTTAAAAAATCAACACAACCCTTTATATATGGTGTTGGTGAAAATATATTCTCTCTGTCAGAAATAACTGTTTATTTTGATGGAATCCGCTATAAATTTAAAAACTTTATAAGAGCTGTGGATATATGTTTTAAACTCATATACTTATTTAATTTAGAGTTTCCCCCTGAAAGTATTATGTTTTATAATTTTTTAGAAATTTTTTTTTATTTTTTTGAACCAAAAAATGTAAGCACTAGAGTCCACGTTATAATAGACGCTTTAAAAAATGTTACTTCACAACTGAATATGAGAGAAACTGAAAAAAACTAGTTTTAGTGCTGATAATATTCTCATAGATGTCGTTTACTGTAGGCAATAGAAATATGTTTATTTTTTACTTAAGTATTTTTGTCATTGGACGTAATATGTTCTTTTCTGTTCATCATTTAGCAATAAATTATGTAAATTAGACATTTTCGTTTTATTTAAGCTTGAAGTGAAAAAAGTGCTATGAAGGAAAAGTGCTATCTAATACGAAGTATTTAAGTAGGTACATAATTGTTACGCATAGCTGAGAAGAACTAAAATATTAAGCTGATCCTAAACTTTACCTGCTGGACTTAAGCTATATCTATATTATGGGAAATTTTGTGTATAAGTATGTTTCAGATTTAAACTTATTATATTAATGCCATGTTAGCGGTACTGTCCACTCGTTTTGCTTTCATCTAAACTCAAAAACCTCCTTGAAAAATATTTTATACGGGGTGTCTCAAATATGGATCGCTTATGCTCGTCGGGAAACACTATATACATTTGTAAGAAATAACGTTAGCGTAATCATAAATTCCATTCATTGGGACTATTGGAGCAGGACATCAACACAATTAAATGTATTTATTGCCTCAATAACTATGGTGTATCATTATAATAAATGTGTTTCACTATAAGGACAAACACCATTAATTGGTTTAATGAAATAGTTTTATTAACTATGCATTAAAAAAGTTTGTGTTTTAATAAATAGTTTTTATTAATACCACAAAAATTTATTTATTTTTATAACAAACCACGTTTTCGTAATAGTAAATTTCATTCATTAGGACAATTAAAGCAAGTCATCAACAATTAAGCATATTTCTTGTCCCAACAACTACAGTTTATTATAATAATAAATTCCTTTTACTATAAGGACAAACTTTGTTAATTGGTTCAACTAACTACTTATATTAAATGTACGTAAAAGTAGTTCGTTTTCTTAACAAATAATTTGTATTAACCAATTACCAATAATAATGAATTGATAAACGTTGCTTCACTGTCGTAAACAAACTGTTAGTTGGACAAATTTATACGATCAAATTAATGGTAACAACGTACTTTTTTATTTATAATACGTACCTTTTTGTTTGTGTGTACATTTATAACAGGCATTTTTTATCAATTCTTCCGCATTTATTTGCACGCTCAAATTCGTATATTGGATATTTGAAAATTTATTTGTATATCCTACATTTGTTGAGAAAGCAAGAAAAACGTGCATAGAAAGTAGCAACGTCAGATGTTATGTCAGAAGAAACACACATTTTCTGGTTTGTTTAACATAACAATGAACATTTGCCAAAGACGAGCCTACCATAGCAAGAAATTCTCGATTATGTTATCCACTATGCTTACGACAGTGCAGTGACTGAATTGAAATTGACACTGAGACAGAGTTTAACTTTGGGGCAGAAACTGGCGGTTTGAAACTCACCATCTGTTCGGCTTTAAAGCATACAGGGCTAACATTTCTAAAGGAACCACTTATTGTAACAATGTAACGACGAACAACACCGTAACAGGTAATTTTTGCCATTGACCGTCCTTTCTGTATTTCCCAGTCCTTGTCGAGAATAGGAAAAACATCCACAAAATATTTTTTTAGAGAAGCCAATATCTTTCTTTTGCGGAAAAGTAAATATTGTTTCGTATTCAGGAAAGGAAGGTTTTACCATTGTTTAAATACTTTATTTCAGCAATGGATTTACCAACGATGGGTTATTTATTGTATGGCGCCATGTAAAGTTGTAGGGGTTGTTGGAATGAATTCAAATCGATCGAGTATTTTGTTTTCAGGCGAGTTAATTTTTAATATTGATTTAAGGGTGCACTTACTACCACTTTTAACGATAAATGGATAGGAAGAAAGGATAACAATAAAAAATGTACTGAGAACAATCACCCCAGAAATGTTTGCATTTATTATAATATAATTATTTTTTCTTTTTAATTTGCATTCTGTCTCAAAATTTTAATTGTTAAGTTTTCAGTAATAATGTATACTTGTTATGATAATTTTTAAGTATGATTTCCCATATGTCAACAAAAATTCCAAAGGTGACTTATATAGCATGTATGATACATAAAGTCACACTATGAATCCAAATATGCAATAATATTCTTGGGGTTCCATTAAAAAAATTGTAACTTCGATCAATATGAATGAAACCTTAAACCAGAGCCTACTAAGGAAGCTCTGCTTAAGCCCAACATGTCCATGTGACGTACTTCAACAATGTACGTTAATAAACCCACAAACCACACACTATTGGCCCACCCTGTACTTTCATCAACTATTCCCGTAACTATTTTCTTTCTTTCCAATTTTTCCAATATCCAAGTTACTGAGGTTTTGCAAATATATGTGTGGTATGTTTCTTGTGAACACGATAGGTAACTCAAAAACGCCTGAACCGATTTTGATTGAATTTGGAATGTATGTATAGTATAGGTTTGCATGGGGAATCGGAAACATCCTATTTTGGTTTCAATCCGTTAGCATCTTCAGGGTTTTTGAGGGTGTGAAAAGTTTAAAAGGCAAATACCGACCTGAAAATTTTGCCTACACTAGCTAATGTGTAAAAAAAACTCTACAAAAAAGGCTATTACAGTTTTTTGTGAGTTTCTTAGTTTTTGAGAAATGTAACATTGAAAAGTTATTAAATAAGAATCACTGTCTTTCCCAAATTTATTTTAAATTCTTAGATGTTGGCCATATAATTTATATGAATATGAATTGATGTGAAAGACGTTTATATTTAAATTAATTTATTAATTGTGATCTAAAATTGACAACACAACTGGCATTCAACGAAGCTGAAAAATTCTTAAGTTTTGTTTTTGGCAAATTCAGCAGCGTTTGATATTCCTCAGTAATAAAATTTGCCTGTGAACCGCTAACAAAGCGCGTGCATAATGTTTAATGTTATAATTATCAATAATAATTAATACATTTACCGTCGCTAACAAGATTACTACTACAACGATTACGCCTTCTTTTCAGTTTAGCTTAGATGCAACAACAAATTGCATTTTTTGCATCCGAATTTGCGACACACCTCTTTTTATGATTCGGCATAAAACATTTCCCACAAAGCACTAATGTTGGACCTTGTCAATTCTATTCTGTAGGTACAGACATTGAATTTTTATAAATTCAATGGTACAGATAAAGCGAAAAATTCCGAACATTTAAAAATAGAATGCTTCTTTTTGCAATAATAGCATTCATACCCTGACTTATTTACTGCAAATGCTTTCTTATTAACAATGTTTAATTGCTTCTTTGGTTCAGAACCAATAACGTTTCTAAAAATTCCGCCTTCTGTTCTAAAAAAGCACAGAAATTCAGCAACAGATCTATTTTTTTAACTTCTTTTAATCGAAGCTTTTCAGTTTTCCACTCTTGTATGTAGCTATAATATATATCTAATTTACTTGTAAATATGTGTAAAATAATAACTTTTTATAGGTTCACCTAAAATAGACAAACAGTGTAAATGTTTTCTTGTTTTATCAGCGAAATTACGTAACTGAATTAAAGAATCACATTTCACCTGCGGTAATGCCATAATTGGTGTGATATGATTATGGATCAGTAATTCTGATTTTCTAAACCGTTTTACCAAAGATTCTCATGCTGCCTGATAACACCGGTCTACAGCATTTTTGCGCATGGGACATATATACCTTATTTGTATTGCTTGTATAGCCACAAATAAGAATTAGAACAAAAAAAGGTTATGTATTTGTTTTTGTGCGAAAAAAATGCAAAAAACCAAAAAATAAAAATACCTATAAAATCTTACTTACATAGGCATGATTTATTATAAGGTAACGTTCCTACATTTATAATCTATTTGTCTTAGAGTCTAAATGTTTAAAAATGGGACAGTTTTGCTGTTTTTGTCATGTTCAACTGAAGTTTTTCTCATCAACCTCGCAAATATGATCTTCCATCATGCTTCCAGCTTACTGGCCTTGGTAACGTGCCTAAATTCCATTATGTCTTGATGAAAGGGTTGTCCTTGTTATTCCGAATAAGCTCCCATATTATTCTTAAATTAATCTAAATGAGAATGTAACCTGTGCATCTCTAGAGACATTCTATACCCGATGATGCAAAACGAAAACCCGTCAGCTTTTCATAATTTTTACCTCTATGGTTTCCCAGGAAACACTGAACGGGAAACCATGGACTATTGCCTTAAAACTGTTCCAGGATTTTTTTCCTCTTTGCTAAGTAACCGCGGGAAAATATCACCCTCCATTTTTCTTTTTATTTGAGGGAAAACAAAGATTCCAGCTTTAATTTTCGCCCCTGAAAGCTTTCAATCAAATCGCTATAACTTTTGTAAAAGCAAATATTTTCGATGTCTAATCGCACTTTTTATTTATTTTTGCTTATTATAGTCAGAATATATTATGTAAATCCCATGCGCAAAAAAAAATTATTTTTTTGTTGACCTGTGTAATTGGTCTCATTAAAATCAATAGAGGATATTATTTCTGCAGCAGAACCAATAAGGCATGAATGTAGATAATGAAATTTGTCAGTATCACAATAGAATTATTATTATGAATCATGGATTCGTATATTTAGTCTTAAACTCCAACCACTATTCAAAAGTGCCTGAAAACTTTGGAAGTTCAATAGATAATTTAAACTTTGAATCTTTATTTACAACAGGGTCAATATTTACAACTTCTGATACAGGATTTAAAATACTAGGGTACAATGGTCATCAACAGCTGCAGAATCCGACTCATTAATAATGTCTGATATTGATTCTTCGGTCATAATTCTTGGATTCTTAGTTGCAATAATTGAATTACCGCCTTCTAATGATAGTAGACTTTAATGATTGACTTTCCAAAGCTTTTGATTGAATTATAGCATTGAAATACAAATCCTCAGTCCAGTAGTCAAGTGCTGCATCTAAATCTGTTTCTTTTACCTACCGATTCTTCAAGTTTAATATCAGAATAGTGTTGAATTCTTTAAAATAGTCTTCAATTTTTTGCCTTTTGTATTTTGTACTGCAACTGCGTTACCGTTATAACACTAACATTAAATGAAAAACTTAGTTATTCTCCCCTTGATCACACCACGTAATTTAATGCTACGCGCTAAAACCTCATGCATGACTTAAAAATTGACAAGGTAAACACTTAAATTAATAATCAATTTCTATTTAACGGTCACTTTGACAAAGTCAGTCAAAATCTGATAAATTTCACAATTAATCTATGTTAAGTCTATGTTTCTTGCACAGAAAAATGAAATTTCTCTTGCTCCCACAAGTCGGGACGTTTAAGGTTCGTTCAATATTCAATACTACAGAACTAACATTATTCAAGTTTATTTTAAACTGTCCTAGGCACAAAACGGTATCACAGTGAGGTAAAACCTCAATTATCGAAGATTCCAGTCAATCAAGAAATTGGAGTTGGAATTGATGTGGTCTATATAATATATGGCGGCAATTATCAACTTAAATTTAGTAATAATAATAATAATGCCATTTATTAATCACGTACAGTTATTTTTACAATAAAACATTGTTTACTATACATATACTGTGTACGCAACTAAAAGGGCGAAGTTCAGATGCTAGTGACGAAATTCGCCCACAAGCCCTGCTATACCACTTAACCCTTACTATAATTTTACATCTTATAACTATAAATGAACGTGAAATGACTGAAAAATTATAATTAAAACCATTTATCTTGTACGAGTGCAAAAAAAAACAAAAAATAAACGTAATATCGTATTTGGATCGAATACATGCATTAATCATTGTTGAAAGATAAAATCATAAAATGATAAAGAAGATTTCTATTGAAAGAGGAAAAAGAGAAAAAAAAACAAAGCAAAACAAGAAGCGTATTCTGTAACAAAATTGGTACTGAAGATTAATATGATTTAAATTTATTACGAATGATTTTGAGAATTGATTAAGAAACTGTGTAACTGAATTTTAAAGGACCTAACAGATAACTTTTTTAGATTACTCGGCAAATCATTATAATTACAGCTTCGCAATATTATAGGTAAAGGACCTTTCAAATAGTGCTGTTTTGTGGAAGGGAGGTGTAATCAAGAGATTGAATCTAGGGTTCGAGCTAAAATGGATCTTACTATACAAATACCTTGGTGTTTTGCTCCAGATTAGATTATTTTGTGAAATAAAACTAGAGAATGGTATTTCCTTCTGTTCGCCATATTTAACCATTTCAGATCAGATAATCTATGGGAAATGCGATCATATTTTCTTATTCCGAATATCAGACGCATACAAGAATTTTGCATTCGTTGTATACGTCTAACATCGGTACTTTCAAAGCATGCACCATACACCGAATCGCAGTAGTTAAAATGAGACAGCACTATTGAGTCACATAATATACTTTTTTACTTTTTTATTGAGTATGTGTCTGTTATTATATATCAGTTTTAGGTTGGTAAACGCGTTAGATATAATAGAGGTTATATGGCGTTTAAATCGTAATCCGGAATCAATATATAAACCCAGACTTTTAAAACAATCTACGTTTGACAATTGATTGTCTTTGACTTTCACACAAATCTCATGTTTTGCAATATTTCGGGTATTTATCTTGCCAAATAAAATCGTAGAAGATTTTACAGGATTGATTTGCAGCCCATGTTCTTCAGATAAATTCACAAGAGTTTGAATGTCCTCATTTATATATTTATTGGCAAGTTTTGTTTCATAGTCAAAGAAATCAAATTGTATTTTGTGTGTCATCAGCATATTGATGAAATGTAGTGTATTTCAGTGATTTACCAAAATTAAAAGTGTAAATAATAAATAACAGCGGTCCGAGTACGGAACCCTGGGGTACCCTTGAAAGAAGATTAGCTGGCGCCGATTCCTGATCATTTAAAACCACTTGTTGGGTTCTTTGATGTAAAAATTGTTTTATTAATAAACGAGCATTTTCGCTGAACCCGATGTAATGTAAGAGGCTAGTTAAAATCTCATGATTGATAGTGTCAAAGGCCTTGGAGAAATCGAGTTGAACTAGAGATGATAGTTTTCCTGAGTCTAGGGCAGTCAGTATGTTGTCTGTAATATTAAGTAGCGACGTGGCACAGCTGTAATCCTGTCGAAATCCAGATTGAGTAGGTGGTAAGATATCAAAGCAAGTTAAATATTGCTTAATCTGGTCAGTCATAATTTTCTCCAAGACCTTTGACAGCACCGACAATATACTTATTGGACGCAAGTCTTTATAGCTTTTCGGAACAGTTGCCTTTAGTAATGGGATAATTTTGGCCTTCTTCCAAATTTTCGGAAATTCGTTATGTCTTAAACAATAATTTATCAGATACGTTAAATAAGGTGTAATACAGGGAATACACACAATTAACATTTTGACACTGATGCCATCAAGCCCTACAGATTTAGTAGAAATTTTGTTGACATACTTGACCACATCAAAATCTGTTACTTCCTGGAATTCGAATTGTGAGCTTAGGTCTTTTATAAGATTATTATTGTAATATTGAGTTAGCTCTCCTCCATTTACTTGCGTTGTAGGTGTAGCGAAGAAATCACTAATCTTATGGACATCACTCAAAAATACTGGGATTTCGGTACGCGAAGATTTGCTATATATATATTCATTGTTTTTAAATCATGCCAAATATTATTACTGGACTTTAGTCGATGCTCGATATAAGCCTTTTTTTCTCTTTTTATAGCAAGTGTCGTGAAATTACGCAATGATTTATAGTAATCCCAGTGAGCGACATTTTTAGATCTTTTGAACCTAGTATATGCCTCGTCGCGAAGACTAATCATAAATTTTATATTTCCTGTTAGCCACGGAGCAAATGGTTTGGTTATCTTTGCGGTTTTAAATGGTGCATGGCAATCAAAAAGGTGAATTATCTTTTCGTTCAAAAATGACACCATGCCATCAGCGTCTTTTAGCGAATAGATATCATTCCAATTAATGTCGTGCAAGTGTCTATTGAAGGATACTACATCAAAATTTCTAAAGTTTCAGGTAATGAATTTAGATTTTACATTCTTTATCAAAATTGGATAATCACAATACGTCAGAGAATGATCTGACACACCATGCAACGTAATAATTTTATAATTAGCATGTGACTTGTGGATTGGAACAATTATTAAATCTAATAAGGAAGAACTCGTCTTGGATATCCTTGTGGGTTCATTAATTATTTGTTGGAGACCCATTGTCTCAAAAGAGTTTGAAATTGAATGGTACCAGCATCTTCAACTTTAAGCAGGTTGAAATTAAAATCACCTAAACACACCAACTCATCAGCTGTAAGTAAAATTGGAACAATACATTCCTCAAAAGATTCAATAAATTCTGAAATCGAAAAATCGGGGCGTCTATAAATAACACCAATTGTAACTGATTCGTTATTAAAAGTTAGCAAATCCCAAACATGTTCGAAACACTTAATGTCACAGGTACGTACTAATTTATATTGCAAACTGACTTTGATGTATGATCCAACTCCACCTCCCCACGTAAGAGTACGTCTGTCTTTTCTTACAAAAACATATCCATTAATTGCTACCACCGAATCTAAAATAGTTGGCGAAAGCCAGGTTTCAGTAACTGCCACAATGTCGTAATCATTTTCCAAAACATATTTCTTGAAGTCTATAAATTGATTGGTTAGTGATCGTACATTCAAATGTGCTAATTTAATTAGGTTAGTAGATGTCATCATTACACGAAAATAAGTGTAGTCATTGTCATTATACTCATACAAATTGGATATATTTCAAAATTACAAAATTGAACAATGAGCTGAGCAAATAAATTGTTGAATTTGTTAATAGAAATACTTATCCCACGTCGTTCAATCACTGGCGATATAAAAAAGCAATCCAATGGTTTTACATTATGCTGGCTTTTAACATAAATCCCAACTCCTCCTCCTCTGCCTCTATCCATTCTGAAAAATGTTTACCCATCAATATTTAAGTTCTGTGTAGGCATGCTTACGGTTAGCCACGTTTCACAGAGATGACGAATACATCACACGCAGCCACAGTTAAAAATTGTATAAAACCTGCAAAATCAGAAGTTAGTGATCGAACATTTAAATTAACAGCCTTAAATAATTTCATATTCTGTATCCAGTTTGGTTCCGTCCAATTTGTTGAACAATATCACATGCAAGACAAGTATTAAATTATAAAGAAATAACATTTGAATGACCGTACAGCAATGAGAAAAATATATCTGCACCGATCTTAAAAAACTGTGACTGTGTTTACTTTAATTTACTTATAAGTTATAAATCATATTGTTGATTATATTAGAAAAACAAAAAAACTGGAATATAGCGAACATGATTTTTTTTCGTGCAGAACTGCAGCTTCTTCCAAATCAGATTCGCATGTGATTGGTTTCTCCTTACGATTGGAGAGCAACACACAGAAATTTAATAATTATTTATACAGTGGCAGACTATATTCTGTATTAAGTATTACCGATTGAATTAGACTTATTACTTTCAACACACGTTTAAATTGCATTTCGATTTACAGAATAACATTTCATGTTCAAAAAATTACAACCGATTGCGAAATATCCAAATCTCGCCGATTTTCCAAATCAAACGACTGTTTCCTGCAAGTTTCTGGTATATCTAGCGTACGTTAAAAATTCGAATCTTTCTGCATTCGTATATATCAATAATAATAATAATGCATATTTCATGGAAATGTAAACAATGTACTTACACTCGTCCAAAAAGAAAATAATGGGAAAATACAATAAAAAACAAAACAAAACATCCAAACAATAGTTATTCAAATTATATCAAATAAACACAAAATCGGTGCCTCTCTTCTCCCTGTATGCGCAACTTTTCAATGTTTTCTTTTGTGCAGTATTTCGCGCATTTTTCATTTTGAATCGGGATAATTGAGTGCGCAAAGTAATCGTAAACAAAGGTTTGGCATTGGCAATTATGAGTTGGTGTAAACTTGAAATTAACATTCGATGGATTCATAAAATGAACCGAAAACTGGTAATTAGGCGACACATGACATTTTTGGTTTTAAATTTTAAAAGAAGTTGCCTTTCAAGTTTGTGCATTACACATTTAAAATCACAACAGCGAAAATTTGACGCCCACAATTTTATTATTTGTTTCCTTGTTATTTCCTCTCTACTTTAGGAATACATTGATCTGGAGATGAAGTTTATAGCGCTTGGTTTGTAAACAAAAACTTTCGATTGCACCCCCACGAGCTTAAAATCGAATAAGTTCAAAGTAAAAAGTAGGTAAGCCAAAATCTTTTGTACTTATTGAATTTTGCTTACAATGGTAATGACCGCCGATCGTTACACTTTCTCATCAACTAATTAACAACCGCATCCCAAAAAAAAAACTTCCCAAATTCTCTTCCATCTCTCGTTTACCAAATTTTTATAAGAATCAAAAGTTGACACAATCATCCAATTAAGTCAATGATAACGTACGGAATAAGTTTAGTACAGTATGCGTCCAAAGTGGGGATAATAAGGCTTAGAAAGTTTGATGTCCCCACCTTTTCGAATTAATCCGTACCACCTCTTTTTCGAAGTACCACCGTTTAATGCACTTATTAGTAGTGGGTTGCATTAACCTTCTCGAATTAAGTCGACTGGTTAAATTGCGTACGCTAACTTTTATATGTACGAGATTGAAATTTTTATTGGAAATCGGTAGCGCTGCGTGACCCACAACTACCTTCTGTGTCTGTCCAGCGAGTGTTGCGGTGAAGAAGTGAAGTGCAAGAATTATTGTTGCGCTCTCGTGTTGTTGTTTGGAGGACTTCTGTTGATGTATTGAAGACCGAAACGAGCGATCGGATTGTTCGGTGATAACGGTGCTCTATGACCTCTGACCGTTAAATGATTACTGTGAAGTGTCGTCATGTGATGTGTTTACAGTGCTCACGACAATTAGTGCAGTTTATGTAAAAAGTGTGCCCTTTTAAAACTATTCAATGTTAACAGCTGTTATTTGCATTTAATTAACAAAAGTGTGATAGATTCGTACTGTTTTTGTTTGATTCAGCGCGAATATGTTGAACTGTACGGATTTAGAGTGTATTTTGCACCACCACCACTACTATGCGCATCTGCACCACCTCACCCATGGTACTCATGTTGAGGATGAAAATGGTAAGTTTCCTTTCATCCTTGATTTGTGCCATGCTTGGTATTTTTTCGCCTTGAATTGGAAGGTAATGTCGGAATTTTTGTAGTCGATAACAGCATGTAAGGAACGTGCACTTTAAAATATACGCCGGATTTATTTATTTTTAAATAAATAACAATTGATTGGGTGCGACCCGATTTAACAATCTCGATAGCTAGGTACTTTCACTACGTTTACATTACTCCACTGCTACCATGAGATATACTGCATATTATGTGAAATTTTGCGATGACAATAAGACAAAATGCATTTCGGGGTTGGGATTTGAACACAATCACATCTCTAACAGGGACACTACCCTCTAACGAATATGAACATTTCGCATGTATCCATCGATGTCATTTCCCCAAAAAAACAAAACTACCCTAAGGGTTGGTTTTTCGTGTCTTAGTTAACCGTATCTGACAAGTTAGTCTCATCTACTTAACCTGCTCTAAAATGCTAAATGATAAAGAAGCGTTGAAACGGATTTTAAGGGTTTTTCCTTTAAAATCTCAACTATGTATAGTGTAATCTGTTATGATACGAATAATAACATGATGTTAATTTAGTGCTGTAATTTACTTTGAACTTTGATTGCTATAGACATTGTTTACGCCACTATATTCCTTAGACCTATGATTAATTGTATAAGAGGTATTTATGATGCAACCTTACTAAGATACATCCTAATAAAATAACTCATTTAATCCATTCTCTTCCTAAAACATTTGGCAATAGTCCTTGCCGTAGTGGATATTAAAAAAATTAACATACGCTACCCGGTCTCGCCAGGTGCTGCTATGTTCTGTCAATGTACTGCAAGATACTAGCCAGATATTACTTGGGTCAATGATCAGTGCTACTTATACAACACGCGATTTGTTAAATCAACGCATAAACTTGTATAAGACTAATATACAGGGTGTTTTTTTGGGAGCTTTAGTTAAACGTTTCTGGGAAAGTAAAATACGTAGGTTTTTGAAAATTTGTACTTAGGAGTTACTTAAAATATTTTCAAAATGTCCGCACTTCCGGAAACACCGGAAGTAGATAGTAACTTCGTTATTTTAAATGGCAACCCCTATTTTTTATTGCATTTTTGGATTCCACGTGAAATTTCAGTTCTTTTGATACCCATATGTCGATATCTGCCATTTATGGTTTTTAAGTTATGTTGACTTTAAGAAAAAAAATGGCGGATGCAGATGGTACCTTGATAATTGATTACTTGAAAAAGGTTATATATAGTCATGGCAACCCATTTTTATCAGTGCATAGAGAATGAATAGGGCTTTCTCTTAGTGTACTTAAAAAAAAGTTAAGTTGCGTACAACCGCACCTATGGAGATCCAAATGGAGATCTTACAAATTTAAGAAACTTCAAAGTCTGTAAACTCAGTTTTTTTAAATGGAATGATCATGTTCTTAATGTTGCATGAGATAGAGAATCGAAATTGGCATATTTTGATATTACATGTTCCTATAGCTATCTTTAACAGTTTCTGATTTATTCCCATTTCATTGAATTGATCTCGGAATTGATGCCATTTTTTTTCGCATTTTCTTTTTAGTAGTTGGCCATGATTTTATAACAATCGAATTTTAAACAAATCAAGGAATGGATTCTTTAATACCATTGATTCTAGTTCTAGTCTAAATAATTCATTAATAAATAACTCATTTATTAAGGATATAGGACGGAAAATTTTTGAAAAATCTAAACAGAGTCGTTCAACTGAATTTCTTAAACAACGTATAAGTCTGGAAATTAAGAGAGGTAATGCGATATCTGTTCTAGCAACAATTCCATACCAAAAATGTTTCAACGAAGTTTTTTATATTTTGCATTGAATTTATTTTGTTAATCTTGCATTTGCAATTCAATTCATTTTCTTAAATATTCTCTTGTAGAGCTTTGTATCACTTGTGCTTCAACGGTTTGTAGTGCATTAGGGGTACAAAATTTCCAAAATTCATACAATTTCGTTCCAGTTTTCGAATGAATGTACGAAAAGCTCGCGCCGCGATTCTGCCCATTTCACCATAAATAACAATTAAATTCCAAAAAAGTTGAAACCACTGCGAGTCATTTTTCGATTTTTGAAAAACTATGTTAACCTAGAACAGTAGGTGACGGATTAGTGTCACTAGATTTGTTTAAAATTCAATTGTTATAGAATCATGGCCGACTACTAAAAAGAAAATCCGAAAAAAATAGTGTCAATTCAATAAAATGGGAATAAGTCAGAAACTGTTAAAGATAGCTATACGAACATGTATTGTCAAAATATGCCCATTTCGATTCTCTATCTCGTGGAATAGTAAGAACATGGGCATTCCATTTTAAAAAACTGAGTTTTTAGTCTTTGAAGTTTCATATATTTGGATATCCATAGATCCATAGTACGCAACTTAACTTTTTTTTTTAAGTGCACTAAAAGAAAGCCCTATTCATTCTCTATGCACTGATAAAAATGGGTTGCCATGACTATATATAACCTTTTTCAAGTAATCAATTATCAAGGTACCATCTGCATCCGCCATTTTTTTTCTTAAAGTCAAAATAACTTAAAAACCATAAATGGTAGATATCGACATCTGGGTATCAAAAGAAGTGAAATTTCACGTAGAATCCAAAAATGCAATAAAAAATAGGGGTTGCCATTTAAAATAACGAAGTTACTATCTACTTCCGGTGTTTCCGGAAGTGCGGCCATTTTGAAAATATTTTACATCAATTCGGCCTTCAGAGTAACTCCTAAGTAAAAATTTTCAAAATCGTACCTATTTTACTTTCCCAGAAACTTTTAACTAAAGCTCCCAAAAAAACACCCTGTACAGTGAGCGGCTAAATCATGGAACAAAATCATTTAAAAATCAGGTGTTTAAAAAAAGCTCGTACATGTATATCATAATTTTTTCTTGCGCATTTTTTGCACTAAAGAGAAAATATACAGGGTGCATCAAACAGTTGAGGTATGTACCTAAAATAATCCGAATGAGTTAAAGATAGGTATAGTATATGCTACATACATTTGACACAAAATTAAAAAATGGATTTAAAAAAAATACTGTTCCCTTCAAAAAATCTACTTTGATATCAAAATCTACTTTTTGACGTACCCTGTATATTTTCTCTTTACTGCAAAAAAAATGCACAAGAAAAAATTATGATAGACGTGCGCGAGTATGTTTTTAAAACACAACACCTGATTTTTAAATGCATTTCTACAAATAGGACATATATAGATCTGCAATGTCAATATTTGAATTTAAATTAATTCTTAGTAAAAAAAAGGGACCAACACGTAGTCGGAGAAATTATTAATATCCAAATAACCTTCCGCATAAAACATGGGAACTATAATCGTTAACTGAATATCAAGCAAATGTAATAATTACAATTTGATTGTGTTTAAAACCAGTATGTAATCGAACTTTAATCAAGGAAACGACGAAATAAAAAAGTTATCTTTTGAACGGAACAATTATCGAAGTGTAAGTCAACCAACTTCGGGGATAAGTAGATCACAGGTAAGTGGGTAGAATTTTCCCAGCCGGTAATGTAGAAACTCATCTGTCAATTGACGCGCGCCAATATCAATCCTAATAAGATGGCGAGTCCAAATAAAAGTGCGATGTCACTCATGTACGGCGTAGGTAACATCCAAGTAGATACAACCTAAAAGGTATTCCAAAAGAAAGATCGAAGAAAACTTAAGAGAAAAGGTTGAGGGAAGGTGTGCGGAAAGTTAAAGCCCTAGAAGTTATACGTAATGAGGAAAAGGCTGCGTAATAATGTCTCATATCTCGCATTGTTTATATGTAAATACAGATCCGTAAAAATGATTCAATGGAGCACACCACAGACATAGACAAAGCGAGAAATTCACTCCAAAGATAAATGGTAAAGCCAAAACACTAATACCTGTGAACCAGGTATGACACGAAGCAAGTAAAGTAATGGCGTACCAAGAGAAAAATTGCATGTAATCAAGGCGAAAACAGAAACTTTACTGAGAGGAAATAAATACAACTGTGCGAGAATTTTGGCATTTGATAGAGATTTTTCTTATTTTTTCGATGACGTAACATGTTAATCTAGATATCCAAGATCTCTTCCATATTGTTATTTATTATTACTTAATAAAGAGTTCTTAAATTTTTTTGAAAAATTTTCTTGCATAGTGGTACATGCTAAGTCATCGAAAAGAGAAAAAAAATCTATATCAAATGAGCCTAATGAAACGGTCAATTGTTTTTCGATACTCATTTGTTTTCTGAATAAAAAACAACTGATTGCTGCCTTATTATGGAAAATAAAATAAAATTGAATTGTTTTAATAGTACCCTTTCATTGGGCTCCTTTGATAGATTTTTTTCTCTTTTCAATAACATGTTGGAAAACTTTTTATTAAGTAATTACATCTAGATCTACATCAAAATAAAACAAATGAACGTGTACGTTTCTTATTGAACCTTGAAGACAAAACGAAATTATCATTAAAATCATTAAAAAAGGAAATTATTCTACTTTACAAATAACCTTCAAAACGCAGGAATACATTGGTTTCAGTCTGTCTTTAGCCAAAACTAAAATAAAATACAAAAACAGATTATGAACTTAATTTAAC